AAAAAAACATCATTAAAAACATCAACAAACAAACCCTATTACAATGTAAAAAAATAGAGGTATATGACTACATGTAATTATTATATAATATATTTGTAGTAATTCTAAAGCAACCAGGACCATATTAACAAAAATGTAACAATACAACCCATTTTATTTTCAAAGTCCTGTTTCTGCATGAACACACATTGTCAACTTAGGTTAATGTTACATGTTACATGTAATAAACTGTAATATAATATACTCATTATAACGTATATAGTATACATTACTATTTAACAGTATTTTATTGCTCTTCTTAAATGATTTGTAACCAGTACAAACATCGGAATGTTTGACACATACATAATTGTAAAAACGTGTATACAAACGCAGATTTAGTTGTTGTTTTTTTTGACAGTTTAAACATAACATTGCAAGAAAATAAAACATACCAACAATTATAGTGTTTCTTTTTTTTTTTTTTTAAACTGTATTTACGTAAGACACTTTAATTTTTGTCGTGCTTTTTTAGGGACATCTGCTGTTTTGATTTTGTGTCTCTTGAATGTTTTATGTTTAATACAATAAAAACAAAAATTTATCATACTAATATTGCGGCAATTAAATAACAATATTCTCAAACATAATTTTTCTTTGGTAACTGTCCCATCCCGACACCTTGAAGTGAACGACACAACTAACGTGTCGTTCGATCGAATTCTACTAACCAGAAATAAGAATTAACAAAGTTTATGCTAACTGAAAGACATGGTGTTGTTGTTTACCTTCCTGCATCATAGGGAGAGCCGTGTGTCAACAGAAGGGGGAAGTGATGAACGAACTCAATAGCGACTCACACATTTTACCTGCTACCCCTTGAAACATTTGATTCAGATAAGTTAGCCGAGGTTTATTGTTTATATGAAACAAACTAATATCATCGATGTATATTTTCCAAACAACTAGCTAGTTGACCACCTGGATGTTTCAATGTAGCAGTACTGGCAACTAAGTTAACCAAACATTACGCCATGTATGTATGACGTCCTTATGTCCACCCAGCTCAGATGGGTTCCTGACTATCGTTAGCAAAAACTGCGGCCACATCTAAGACCTCCGTACAGAACCAGTGTGATATAGACCACGATGATCTTAGCCAAAAGGCCGAGAATTTAAAAGGTGCAATCAATCGCTCGACTTCGCAGACCAATGTGGTGATTGCTTTAAATGACATTTTCAATAACTTGATTGAGGATTGTATCAACATCTGGTCTTCCATATTGAATCGCACACAACTTTATATTTAGCTACATCCGACCCGCTCAGATGCATATTTTATATGGTTAGATATTTTCTATTTTAGTTCATTTTAAATGTGTATACTAGATAAGGCTAACTGCAGTGTACATGTTGTTATTTTAGTTCACAAAAAAAATTTAATTCATATTTTGAAAGTTTGCAAGGGAAATAATTTGGTGTTTAATTGACAAATTAAGTACATTTAAGGCATTGGGAATAATCCAAATAAAAGAGACACAATGTTTTATTTCTAAAAAACATACAATCTTTAACATATTTTATTATTAATTGAAAAATGATAAAAACCTTAATATGTGTCCTTGCTTTCTATATAAAATGGCTATACCATTATGGTTTAAATACAGTTGCGATATGTGTTACACATTTAGAAGACATTTGATGAAGTCTGATTGATCGAGGGTGTGCGTTGAACTCGTTGATGTAGAATTATTTTAAAAACTTCACAGACTGATCCTAATTTAACCCACATTTATAGACCTACTTATATTTTTAACATCCTACTATACAATTATACCAAAATCCTAGATTGCCAAATTAGAATCATTCACACACAAGTTCATTCATGTTAACCAACAATGCAATATCACAGGGAGTAAAATACACATTCACCTAATCAGAGATATTATTTAGTGTACAAACGATAAAAACACCCCAGTATGCATACTCATCTTAGAGGAGGAGAAAATTTTCCATCAAGTAGCGCACACATATCTTCACACAATTCTCAAAGAAAACAAGATAAAGATCATATTTTACAAACCACACACCCACCTACTGATAGATCCTAAAATTAATTAGACAATGCCCCCCCCCCCACCACCTCACATCCCTTTACATACACGCATTAGAAATAATCTTAGAAAGCACTAGGTACAATACATACATCAGAGCAATAGACATACCAAACTTATCGAACACAACAATTTTAGCCTACGCAGACGATACAACTTTTACTCTCCAAACTAAAACAATCCATGTCCTTAATATTCTCCTGTTATTACAATGTCAGTGTCTTCACACGTTGTCTCTGTGTCTTGTAAATCTAGTTAGATTATTTACATTTGCTTTTAGCGTCTCTAAATACCAATTAATGTTATCATTTAAAAAATAAAATATTTTAATTATTGTGGGTAGGCGCCGGTAAAAAAAAATACTCATTATAAAACAATTATTTCTTTACAACTTTTTAAAGGTAGGCCTACATCTGCATACGCATTTTCACTATAAAAAGGTGGTGAAAAAATCCTGGTAACTATGACAACGGCGGTCATCTTGAAAAATTAACCCCTTTGTAGGCTTTCCACCATTCATCAAATATTATATTTTAAGCCCAATAAGTAATGCATTCACAATTATCTTCCATATTTTGGGGTACTCAGCTTAATTTTTTTTATCTATTGTCCATTGTGCATATTTCCTGCGTTTTTCTTCCTTTGATTTATCAACTTCTGGTGGGGTTGAAGTGACATTTTTTGCCTCTACGACCAGGTCTTGAGGTGATATTTATTCGATGTAATCCCTAAATGTGAGCTCTCGCTACCATTTGCCTATAGTCAAGTTTGGTTTCGCATTGTAGCCAGTATTGAATTCTTGTCACATCTATATATATAAAGCAAAGTGGTCGGGTGCCCGATAGGGCACTTCCCGGCGCCGCAGGCGCGTCAAATTTGGCACGAAGGTGCCTTATGGCGATAGAACACGAGGGCCGGTGACGGTTCGGCAAAAAGTCTACGGAGCGGGGGTCAAAACTGACCTCGACTGACCGGCGCCTTATATGGGCTATATTACGAAAAAAAAATTCCTCCGACGACCCCCCTTGATATTTTGTGAGGTGGTAGAAGAACACCTTGGGGTGTCACAAAAAACTCGCCATGTCCGGGAAAAATCGGGAAATGGGTCAAAACTGACCAGTTGTATTTCCCTATATAATCTTTGTATTTTATGGCGAAAACAGAGGGTCATTTCAAAACGGATTTTATGGCACTTACGCTCTTTACATCTGGCTCAGTTTTGGCATGCTTATAGGTAAATGGCTTGACCTTTAGGGAAATCTGTCGGTTACACTCAAAGCCCTCGACGAGGGCTAAAAAGTGACCGCGAGTGAAATTCTCTTTATATGAGCTCTATTACGAAAAAAAAATTCCTCCGACGACCGCCCTTGATATTTTGTGAGGTGGTAGGAGAACGCCTTGGGGTGTCACAAAAAACTCGCCATGTCCGGGAAAAATCGGGAAACGGGTCAAAACTGACCAGTCGTAATTCCCTATATAATCTTTGTATTTTATGGGGAAAACAGAGGGTCATTTCAAAACGGATTTTATGGCACTTACTCTCTTTACATGTGGCTCAGTTTTGGCATGCTTATAGGTAAATGGCTTGACCTTTAGGGAAAACGGTCGGTTACACTCAAAGCACTCGACGAGGGCTAAAAAGTGACCGCGAGTGAAATTCTCTTTATATGAGCTCTATTACGAAAAAAAAATTCCTCCGACGACCCCCCTTGAAATTTTCTGAGGTGGTAGGAGAACACCTTGGGGTGTTACAAAAAACTCGGCATATCTGGGAAAACTTCGTAAAGGGGTCAAAACTGACCAGTTGTATTTCCCTATATAATCTTTGTATTTTATGGGAAAAACAGAGGGTCATTTCAACGCAGACTTTAGGGTACTTAAGCTCAGTATATCTGGCTAATTTTTTGCATGCTCCTAGGTCAATGGCTTGACCTTTAGGGAAAACTGTCGGTTACACTCAAAGCCCTCGACGAGGGCTAAAATGTGACCGCGAGTGAAATTCTCTTTATATGAGCTCTATTACGAAAAAAAATTTCCTCCGACGACCCCCCATGATATTTTGTGAGGTGGTAGAAGAACACCTAGGGGTGTCACAAAAAACTCGGCATATCTGGGAAAACTTCGTAAAGGGGTCAAAACTGACCAGTTGTATTTCCCTATATAATCTTTGTATTTTATGGGAAAAACAGAGGGTCATTTCAACGCAGACTTTAGGGTACTTAAGCTCAGTATATCTGGCTAATTTTTTGCATGCTCCTAGGTCAATGGGTTGACCTTTAGGGAAAACTGTCGGTTTCACTCAAAGCCCTCGACGAGGGCTAAAAAGTGACCGCGAGTGAAATTCTCATTATATGAGCTCTATTACGAAAAAAAATTTCCTCCGACGACCCCCCTTGATATTTTGTGAGGTGGTAGAAGAACACCTAGGGGTGTCACAAAAAACTCGGCATATCTGGGAAAACTTCGTAAAGCGGTCAAAACTGACCAGTTGTATTTCCCTATATAATCTATGTATTTTATGGGAAAAACAGGGAAATTTTAACACAATTTTTAGGTTACTTAATGTCTGTACATCATGCTACGTTTTTGCATACACTACTAAAGATGACTAGGCCGTATGGAAAAACTGTTGGTCAGACTCAAAGCCCTCGACGAGGGCTAAAAGATGATCTTGAGTGAAATTCTCCTTATACGAGATATATATATATAAATAAATTGACGAACGATCCCCTTAATATTATGTGACGTCGTAGACCGACCATGGAGGGTAACAAAAAAACTTTATTCCCGTCATAAACAGCCATTATAGTCGTTAAATATGTTCATATAACGTAATTTCTTATATTTTATAAATGGCCTTTTGACTTCAAATCTTTATCTTGGCATCACATTATCAATGTATGAAACATGGAGATCAGGTTCAGTGGACCATGTAGTCTTCACAGTTTAGAAGTACATGGTATCTGTGAGTTTGAAAAATAATCCCTACTGTGGCATGTACAGTTTACTTTGATCGATAATTAGAGTTACCAAGCACTCAAAATAAAAATGATTTAATTGCCTAAAAATATTGTGATCTTCCTTTCAATCAACATCTATTGTCCATTTTCCATAACCACAGTCAATAACTTTAATTTGAAACTGTGTTTTCAGAAGCCACTAGTTGAAAATAATATCTTGATCCAGTCTGTTTTTTTTTAATTATCTCAAGGACGTTTAGTTGCTCATGTTTTGGTCAAGTCTAGTTCTATTGATGATAATGAAAAAAACATAACATGTTTTGATACGAGATTATATTTCGGTTATCTATGTAACAAGTATAGTTATACATTAACATTTGTCCAAAGACAGTTAGATAAAAACATGGCAACAAACACAATGCTTAGAATTTTAAACAGCTAGAAGAACGTTGCAGTTGATGCTCTCTAAAATGTATCATGTTCATCTTCACCTTCCTCCATCATATACAGATCAGAGCCAACAAATGGGGGAAGTGATCAACAAAGTATTTTACGACCCCCACCTTTCACGTGCTAATCTCGTAGTTTTTGATGCAAGCAACATGGCTGGGTTTCCAAGTATTTTTAAACTTCTATTTTATAAAATCATGAAAGCGAGTTGACCGAGAGGATGTTGTCAAAGTAACAGGACTTTAATATGTTCATTTTGCAATTAGTTAGAAAATGTAATACACATGGGAATGTAATGCGTCATCCATATATGACGTCCACACGGGGGGGGGGGTGGTCTGAAAAAATAGACTTTTGCGAATTAAGTGGACTTTTGTGGGGAGGTTGTCCAAAATAATTTTAAAAAATGTTTGGACGTCATATATGGATGACCTCTAAAGATATTTACGTACCTAGAGGCGTTATTTATTTAATTAGTTCATACCTCAACAATAACGTTTTTTTTTAAACGTATGTTCCGTGTTTTACGTCATGTTTTTGTGTCCTTTTCTACGGATAAATGTTATTTTATAACAGTACTTGTTACATACATTTCCGACGTAAAAAAACAAGCAAGAGAACAATTCAAATGTTGCTCAAAAGTATTAGAAAAAAAATTTCAACTTACAACCACTCAAAGAAAGAAAGTTAATAAGATTTTATTGCATGTCTTTAAAAAATGTTAATACAAATATAAGGCTTACAATTTTTGAAATTACAATAAAGTTTTAATAATTAATGGAAGTAAAACTAAACATTTTGAAGGTTTTTGTAAATTATTTGTATATTCTATAAAAATTTTACACTCTGTTTTAAATTAAAAGGTGTTTAATTACACAATTGTGTATATTTTACCCGGCTTGCTATTTGTGGCAGATTTGCATTGTCTCCCTTGAAAACATGAATATTGCATTTAGCAGAGGGAGGTAACTACTCTTGGTAAATCAACATTTTCTTTGGTAAAATCAAAACTATAATAAAATGTAAGATCAACTTAAATTATGATAAAAGCAAGTGCTCACATAAAAAAAGTAAATGGCTGTCAGACATTGAGAAAAGAACATGCGGCAGTCGTGGGGTTAGAACTGTAGGATCTGTTTCATCATTTTTTTTTCTCACCGTCTACTATTTCCTTCAGAAAATGTTCACAAACTGTGGCTGTTAGGGTGATTTAAATATAAAAAAATTAACAATCACAATAATATACAGATTGTACCTATGTGGTATAACATATACAGAGAGTCCGACAATACAAGACAAAGGCACCTGTACAAAACTAATGGGGAAAAAAGTAAACAAAAAACTAGAAAAACCTACAACTATACTAGTTTCGCTAGGGTAGCACAATTGAATAGACCCATTATACCCTAAATTATATGTATATCAACCAACATAACAATTTCCACCAACTACATCAAACAAACAAACAAAAAACATACTAAATCGTTTAGATTTAAAAACAACCACCAAACTTATTTTTTTTTAAAGTATGTAGTTATTACGAAGTGTTATTATTGTCATTGCAACTATGAAAACATTTATCTGATGGTACCTAGGATTGTGGTTTGCCACCTCACTTCTTGTAGTCTTTGTTTAGTTATTCTCTCCTTATATTTTACATGGCTATTTAAAAAACGAAATTATGTATGTAGTGCGTCAATTGTTTGAAGTCTTGCGAAAAAGGTTTGAACTGTGTTTGATTTGCCCTAATTTGAGGGTTCTATTGTAATGTTATTTACTGACAATAATTAAAATATCCCATGTATTATATGATCAGTAAGGCTCCATTAACTACAACATTTAACACGTTTTGTTTATGTTTACAGACTGCTGATAATGTTATAATTAAACGGCTTTAAATACAATACCTGGTAAATACAACTTGATGATTATGTATCAGGGTCTTTAACACTGACATCTACTATACCTTAGATGCATCGTTTGGCTTTTTGTTGTGAACCAGGCAGGATCTAGCAAGCCAAATTAGTAGTGCGGGTGTAAACGTGTACACTTTATTTTACACAATGTTTTATTTTCTGCTGATCAGCAATTCATAACTTGTGACTTCGACACAACCCCCCACCCCCCTTCCGCCCAGTGAAAGCAGCTGTTTACAGACGGCAATGAAAAGATCTAGCAGAAATTGTTATCTCCTCTTAGTTTCAAATCGTGTAATACTAAATTATCTGCCCCTTATAGTCGTCATTAGTTCAACCCGGCTCTATAAATGTAAACATTCGTGAACCATAGCTCACCAGACTGGTGGGGGTGGTAGCGAGTTGACCACCTTTATAGTCTAATGTAGTAGAAATAACAACAAAGTTAACTAAACATTATGTTATGGCTGCTTGATGTCTAAATCATTTAAACATGATTCAAAGTAAATATTGAATAACACAATTAAATAGTTGAGTCTATGTCTATATAAAACCAAAGGGTGAAAAAAAATTGTAAACTATATAGAGGTAAACTGCTTGCCTTTATAATACAATTTATATTAATACGAGTTAACTAACCGTGTAAGTACACATTGACGCTATGTGCAATATCATCTTGATGATATCACACGAAGTTGTATATTGCGCTACATCTCACCAGCTCCAAAAGTGACGTCTACGTATCTTACATGGTTACACATTTTCTATTTTAATTTATTTTATATTTTTCTAAATGATTAGGAACACTGTCGGCCACACAAGGTTATTTTAGTTTACCAATACATATAATATTATTACATTATTACCGATTCCTTTTTTTGGGAGTGTTTGCGAGTGACGTAATCACGTATGTAATAGTCATAACAGGTTCGGTAAAAGATTTGGAAAAAAAAAACGAAACAGACATAAAGTTTGTGTGTTATAACATATTTAAATTGTATTTACAGTGTTATTATAATGATACAAATGTAGACATGCGTTTAGTTTTTGTTCAAAACATATCTGTATTTGCTAAATTAAAAACTGTAGTTTTCTTTTGTACATATATAAATGACGAGTGAGAATATCAATTATTTAATGTTAGTTCGATATTTCCATTGTCTTTTTCGTGTTTGGTCCCTTTTCATTAAAAAGACAATACATATTACATGTTTCTTTATATTTAAGAAAAAAAAGTCTCCCGCCCCTATAACGATAAAATATTTATATAAAAATATACTTTGATCAGTGTTCGTCCACCCCTTAAAAAGTCTGAAAGAAACACTCTACATACAGACCACTTTTAAGATTAAATAAATACATTAGGTAGTAATGCAGGTATCTTTATCATTGAGTATTAATAACGTCGTTATTTTTGTTCATTAGATGTCTATTTACTCTAGAATCAAGAAACTCATTTTTCTTTTCGTGTAGCTTTGAAAGAAACGCTGTGGTGAAGGAGAAATAAAAGTCAACGTCAGTCGGACGTGACAACTCACATCACCAGATAGGCCGAACTCGTGAGACGATGGGTGACTGTGACAGAACTGTACTTCAGACACGGACACGATCTTAGGAACCATGTAGCGACAGTTTAAACTTTAAAGACTGATCTAAGGGAGGCAATAACTAAAATATATACGCTTTACACTAGGTCACTGCCCTTGTTTCCTCGGTAGCAACACAAAACGGACTAGACATAGTTGTAAATTGGGATTAAAACGTTCAATTAACCAGTCCGTATTGAATACATATTGATCAATATTGAATACATATAATCCGACCAATAATAACAGTTGTAACAGTTATGCTAACTTAAATGTAAGCCATATTTTATTTAACTTTAAACATTCGTATGGTTTGTAACGACAACAGATCGGACAGTGACAGAATATTTTAGGGGGACTGTTAGAAAAAAAGTGTTTATATTGATGTAGATTATTCATCGAGTAAATGTTACCTTTTGAAAAAAAATTAAACGGCTAATGTTTACATGTATCGTGCTGTTGCCCATGTGCCTTGTGTTGTCTTAACATTAATTAGATAACATGTTGTTGTTTCTCTATAAACCAAATGTTCAGACACATTATAGGGCTGCTTTGTTAGGAAAACTTTTTTTCATATTAGAAAAATAAATGGTGTCGTTGTGCATTATTTGCAACATATTTGATATAGATATATTGTAATAGGGAAAGTTTACAAAATATGAATTGACTGATCGTAACAGTGCTTACATAATTTCTAGAATGTTTTAGTAGAAATGTAGAATCAATTTTTGGTTGGTTGAGTGCTGTAGGTTTGATTCGTTTTAGTATATTTCGATGAGTTGTTGGTATTTTTGTTTTTATATTTTTTGTGCTTTTGGCATTTTTGATTGGGTTTTCTTATTGTGTAGTCAAACTGTCATATTTTGCATATATGGTAATTTTAAAGCAGAACAGGACACTATTATAAAAAGAACATATTATACCATATTTATTTTCCACCAGTGAAATCGATTCGTTAATGAATTGTGTGGTCTGGTCAGTGACGTAACGACCCATTCCTTCACATGGGGCGACCTTCCAATTTTTTGACACCCCCACCCCTTCACGTGAGATGTAAATATCGATCTCGACATGTGTAAGTTTTATTTTTTTTGTTACACAAGTAATGTGGAAAACAATTCAATATTTCCGACTAGCCAAATGGCTGTCTATTTTCTTAAATTTGACTGTATGTCATATCAACTCTAGTTGGCGCACCCACATGGGTCGGCGCCCGAAGACATCGCCCAACCTACCCTCCCCTAGCTACTCAACTAGGTCAGGTCAGCACTATGTCTAAGGGCTATTGCTGTATACAAAATTGTGTTTCACATACATATTGTACGTCTTAGAAATATTGCTCGCCGAATCCGAACAACGTTCTCCTATGTCAAAAAATATTGCAATAAACATTTAAGTGTATATGTTTTATGTTAGTCCTATTATTCACACTGGCCTATAGAGTGAAATATGCATTTACCCAATTGTTGCATGAACATAATGGTCTATTTAGATTAATGTTACATTTTAGGTAACGATAACATTATATACACACCATAAACGAAATAATAGTACTTATACATTGACAATTAGTATTTAAAGTTTGCATTTTATTCCTTTTCATTAATGATGTTAAGGTAAATAACCGAAAGCTAAATTGCTATGCCGAATTGATAATATTTAGAACATTTTTACAAAAGCAGGTTTTGTTTTTTTTTAAATGTTAAAATTTATAATTCTTCAAAACATACATACAAAAAAAAAGATTGCGGGCAATTACTTTTACAATCAATGTGTAGGCCTATTAAGAAAATAAAAAGTTTAAACATAGCTTAAACCATAAAAAAAAAACATAACACAACAAAGAACGCACACATATTTAGACCTTTATATCTAGCCATTGTTCAGATTCCCGATTCGAGTCTGTAGCACGTCCTTATTTCCAACCAGCTCAGATGGGAACCTGATTAACATTAGGAAAAAACTGAAGCTACAGGTAAGACCTCTGTACATAATCCTTAACAGATAGTACACTTTGATCTGATTCAAAATACAGAGAAGAGGTTCGGTGCAATCAGTCACTCGACTACTCCGACCACTACTTTAAATGACAGTTTCAATAACTTAAGTAATGATTGTATCAACATAATGCCTGCCATATTGAACACACACACAGACAACTTTAAATTGAGCTACATTTGACCAGCTCCAAAAGTGACGCCTACGTATCTTATATGGCAAGTTATTTTCTATTTTAGTTAATTTTAAATGTATCCATTAGATTCGTTACAATGTTACCTTTATTTTTTAATGTTTTATTTCCGAAGCAGATAAGTATTTACCAATCATTTTTTTTTCTTCTTTGGATTATGTGCAAGGGAAATAATTACCCTATTTAATATACCATTTTATTAAATAAATAGAATATTTTTAAAAATCTGTCAAATTAATAAATGTTTGAAACACTGTATGCCAACAATATTTATTTTATTTGAACAATATCTAAAACTGTAGATATTTCATTGTTTTATGTTGAAATATTACTGTAATTGCAAACACAAACACAGTAGCTATATTGTTTAATATTTTGAAATACAGGTGAAGATATCGATTGATTAACGTTCTGCACTAGTTCCGCCATTAACGTTCATATCTTTGATGCTGTGTACAACTACCACCCCGTCCCCCTCTCTCACCCACAACGCCGAGGGTAAAAAAATCCCTTGAATCATCATTTGATTACACATTTGCATTTTCAGGTTGTTTTATTTACTTATTTCACCATATTCTCAGACACACCGAGCATCATACCACACTACATCAAATTCAACTACAAAAACAGACCGGTCAACATACTAGTGGCCATACCGGGTAGACGTCAAGCTTGTCAATCGTGCGACTCAACTCAACACTGCCCCCTATCCTCACAAACAACAGAACCAGAGCCACCAAGAGTCACACCCCCTCCGCAACAGCAAACAGCGTCCCAAGAGCAGCCGGACCAACAAGCTGTACCAACCGCAAAGCCAAATAATCAACCTACAGCACAGGATACAGCAACACCTGTACCACAACCCTCGATACCAAGCAACCTACAAGATCCTCCAACAATGGGGCCAATAGACCTAACCTCAGAAATGGAAACCAGCTCGTCAATGAAAAGAAAAAACCAAACCAGCCCCACTGAACTAGGGAAAACAACTAAAGGAAAAAAAAAAACACACAACGCTAACCAAAAACCCCCTCACATGCAGCTACTGCCTGAACTCGCACCAAACACTCGAGGAACTAACACGTCACGAAGATACAGAACACCGGGAATTCAAGCAATGCTTCCACTGCAAAGATGGAATAATCCACGAGTCTATTTCTAAACACTTCCTAGAAGAGCATGCAAAATCCATCTTCCAATGTACGTTCTGTGATGTAAACCTCCCAAAACACAGTCTCTATCACCACATGGAAGCGCATCACTCAGACATCATGACTAAGAAACAAAAATAATGCGTAAATGACAAAAAAATAGAGTTCTCTGAAGATTTTAACAAATAGACATCATGACATTGTTACGCTAGTTTTGTTAAACGTTTTGTATTAGTCACAATTGAACTGATATTTTATGCATCAATGTTATACTATGTATTACATTATGTTTTAAAACATGCAACAAAAAAAAAAATGTGTACAACTACCACCCCGTCCCCCTCTCTCACCCACAACGCCGAGGGTAAAAAAATCCCTTGAATCATCATTTGATTACACATTTGCATTTTCAGGTTGTTTTATTTACTTATTTATTTATTTATTTATGTTTAGACGTTTTGTATTAGATCTATGTATAACTAAACCATCTTAAATGAATGAAAGTAGGCTACAAGTAAGAAAGAAATATTACTATTGTAAATCTGTATCAGTCCTCACAAGCCGATGATAAAAACTGTAATACTAAAGCGAACACACAACTGACGCTGTTAATTACATGTCTCAGGCGGGAAAAAAATGTTTTTAGCCAGCTGATCTGTATCTGATGTGTATAAATCACCCTTAAAATATTGAGCGAAAATATTAATCTGACGTTGTTAAATTCTGACATAAGTAAATGAGAAGTAGAATGTCTTCTATGTTGAAAAGAATAGAGATCGGATTTAATTAAGTTCATGGTAACCGAAAGATCGTTTATTTTTACATAAGTCAATCAACGTGTATGGATGGAGGGTAGGGGGGGGGGGAAGGGGCGGTAGTTATTTACGGTCATCGGGTGACAGCTTGTTGTGTAAAGCACACATTGTCCCGTTCAAAACCACGACAATACGATTAAAAAGACTCAGCTGTTCACTGGACTACACTATGTATCCATGTCATGTCATATCAAATCAAAGTATTTAAAAAATTGCACGATATTCACAATTCAAAAAAGAAAAAACGAGATTTTTGCAAATATCGACGTTTTAATACAAGAAAATTCGAGATAATTTAGGGAAGATCACTCCAGGTTTATTTAATAAGGGAAACAAACATTATAAAAGTAATAGCACTAGCCATTAAATGATTTGAAATAGATTTAAAAAAAAAACATTTAAGTCGGACATGTACAGTAAATAAACATTTACTAAATAACATTTTAATATAAGGGTCAAAGTTTAGGTAACTGTATATATGATTTGTGTGTTTATTTTTTTTTTACCAATTTCAGAAAACTTTATCGAATTAACTTGCACTTTTTAAATAGATTTGAGTAAGTCGGTCAGTCAATGTTCACCACTCATGATTAATGTTTCCTCATTTATACTTTCACAATGTAAAAAAAAGAGATATATAACAATGCAATGGTTTGTTTGTCTTGAAAAGGATCCAACAACTAGAATACACAAAATTAAATTCACCTAGTCAACAATTACGTCCTATAGACCACGTAGCTATTGACCGTATGGTTGAATGCTAGAACATACATACCAACCCAAACGCGCCTATTCTCAATTCGAAAGTAACTCCGTAGAATACATCGAGCAAACCCAGCCTAAATGGGCACTCAGTCACGTTTGGGAAAGTAAAGGTGGTTGTGGTTAGTGCTGAATAATCTATCCTGTTGTATGCCGATGTCACAGAAACAAGTGAACTCTACTTTACTTTAACGTCAGGTAGGAACTGAACTTCACTAACTTATGTTGATAAAATATGTAACATAAACACGAGATGAAAAACAAAAAAAAAAGAACTAAACATCTATGTGATCACAGCCCGTTAACTGAACATCTATGTGATCACAGCCCGTTAACTGAACATCTATGTGATCACAGCCCGTTAACTGAACATCTATGTGATCACAGCCCGTTAACTGAACATCTATGTGATCACAGCCCGTTAACTGAACATCTATGTGATCACAGCCCGTTAACTGAATATCTATGTGATTACAGCCCGTTAACTGAATATCTATGTGAACACAATTTGTCAACTGAACATCTTTGTAAACACAATCTCTCAACTGAACATGTATTTTAAACAAAAACTCCCAAATGAACTTATATATTACTAAAATACAAATGAATTGTTCATTTTTCGTGTTATGATATTTAGTTGAGTTAATTCTAGTATAAAACAAATATATAAAGGAGTTGTTTGTTAAGTATATCATGTAATTAAAATTATAATAACACAAAACTGGTGAGTCTAGCTATTTTTAGATTCCAACAGATTGAGATGTAAGCTATAAAATCATGTCCATTAAATCAGATAATTAATTAATTAGAAATTAAACAAGACTCTACAAACATGTAGTAATAAAAAAACTAAATAAAAAATATAGTAACGTTCCGGCTTCGGATTGTCACAAGTCTTGTTACACAATAAAAGAATGAAATGTATTCTAAACTGAATTTGCCTCTTTATAAACGGACTAAATCTTGGCAAAACATGAATAAACTACTGTAAATAGTAAATTAGAAAAAAACGCAGAAGCAAACCAATACAAATTAGTGTGTTCAGTAAATGATTATTTTACATAGATTTTCATATGCTAAATAAATAATTCTTAGTTTAATTGTACAAACCATGGAAAGCTGTCGATACATCGTTTAAAATGAAACCAAAACAAGAATGTTAAATTATTCGTTCTAAAATATTCTGCTTTCAATTCAGAGATAAGGGGAGAGAGAGAGAGAGTGTGTGTGTATGTGTGTTAGTGAGGGGGGGGGGATTGCGGATTATTTATTAAGTTGCGTTAGAGACAGGTTCATAAAGTGTAAAGACACGTTTTGTAGTAAATATGAGAAACTGAGTTTAAACCGTTACCAACTATAACTTGACTGTAATCATTTGTCCGTAGATGGTTGTTAAGGATAAGGATGTACACTTTTTGTTTTCACTTACAAACATCTTAATACATTGACTTGACTTGGGTTAAACAAAAGACATCAAGACAAGAGGTCACTTTTTTCTTCTAGAACTCACCATTAGGACAATCATCAACAACCAACCAATACAAGAGGTCATCTAAATCTTCTAAGACAAATCATTAGGACAATCATCAGCAACCAACAAATATGAACTATTGTAGGGCAGATACTTGGATTTCATATCGTCGTCCTAACAATACAACACCACAAACATGCATGACGCATACAACTTTGAAATTTACATATATTAAAGACAAGCAATAACTTTAGATTAATCAATGTTTCGACTGATCTGACAATGGTTTTATTTTTGTTATTTTTTTTTTTACTTTTAGGCAATATTTTACTTTGAGGTCAATTTTCATTGACAGACGGAGTCGAAAATTGTGTCACTGTTTATTTTGTTGTTATCGCACTCCGACTTAAAAGAAAAAATCTGCTCAGATATCTGTCTCATTAGCAATCATGCGAGTCCGATTCCTTGTTAAACTATTGCATAATGAGAAATTCAAGTCAATAAGAAAAACAAAGTGTCTATCATCTCGACTGAGTATAAAAAACAAAATCAAGAATTAACAAACTTTGTGATAGATGAGAGCAATAATTATATTCTTCACAAGTCTGCATAAAAATAAAAAAAAAAAAAAAAAAAAAAACATCGGACATTTATAATCAACCAAGCTTCATGCAATTTTTTTTCTGTCTATTGTGTGTAGGGGAAAAATTTAGAATATACATTTATCATTGGCTTGTATATCATTTGATAAATAAATTATTCTACTTTAAAAAAAAAATTACTGTGCGTCAACTCCAGTTATAAAAATTAGCAAGGAAAGGAACTTAAAATATATTGCATAAATAGTTAGAAATATAATTCGGTTGAAAATACTTAAATAAAATAAAAAGTACTATACATTTTTAATAAAAAAAACTTGTAAGTTATTTATTTAAAATCTAAATGAGTGAGACATTTCTTAAATACTTATTATATTATTTATGCAATCGGAAGCAGAAAAAGCAGTGATGTTTTTATTTCTAAACATAACTAGTTTCGAAAAACTTCGTTTATATAATGTTTAACGATTTATTTCTGTTTTCACTATCGCATAATTGTAAAACAATAAGTTTGTGTGTTTATATAATTATCTTATAACAGACTTTTAACACAGCACAATCAGGTTGAAATGATTGCAAAAAAAAGGGGGGGGGGTTGGGCGCAAGGAGGTTTTTTTTTAATCTACATTTGAATAAATGTCCAATTATATTCGTAGGTATAGGCCTACAAAATGACTCATACATAATATAGTAGAAAAGCTGCAACAGTCTACGGTAGTTTTGTTTGGTATCTATGTGAAACTGGTCATTGCATAACGCCTAATGGAAATCTGGAGTTCCGATGAGTGAGTGCAGATGGCAGCTAACTCTATATACTCATACTATGCTTAGATGGTAGATTTTCCAATATATTACATAAATCATGTCAGATGATGTTATGCTGGGCCAGTCTTTTCTAGTAGACAATGTTTGACAACTCCGTCTAATTTCTTTTTTCTTTACATAGCTTGAACAACAAATCATTTAATGTTACCAGATCTCAGTTATATGCCTATAGATAATACATATGTGACCCGCTTCAAACTTGACTTCTACAGCTGGTGTTCATGTATCAACAACATATACCAATTGTTATGATCGTAAGTTGTATCAGGGGACTAGAAAAACTGTATTTAAATAATTTTAATTGCAATCTATAATTATTATTGTGTACAAGTTCAAAAAAGGGGATAAAATAATTAGATTACCACCCCCCCCCCCCGCAAAAAAAAGTAAAATAAAAAAAATACAAATATAAATAAATGCATACATACACCAGCTTGAACTAGTTAATAGCCCTACCCCACTTCCTCACTACTCCACAAACTTAGCATAGAGCCCATGTTAGAAAGTAATAGACAGTACATCCACATTAAAAGTAAGGT